TCTTCTTTTTCTTCTTCTTTATCTTCTTTTCTTCTTCTTCTTTGTCTTCTTTTCTTCTTCTTCTTCTTCTTCTTCTTCTTTGTCTTCATTCTAATTCTTTTTTTCTTTTTATTGTGGTTCTTCATCCTTATCTTCTTCTTTTTCTTTTCTTCATTCCAGAATAGCGTCTCTCATTTTATCTTTCTAATTAGTGTTATATTCCTGCAATTTCTAATGCAGAAAGTGAATGTTCTCTGCGTCTAATTAGATTTTTTTTTTTTTTTTTTTTTTTTTTTCGTTAATTTTTATTTTTCGAAATTGAATTTTCCCTCTTCTTTCTCTATTATTATTATTATCATTATTATTAATATTATTGTTATTATTATTATTACTATTGTTATTATTATTATTATTGTTATATTATTATTATTATTATTATTACTATTATTATTATTATTATATTATCATCATTATTATTATTATTATTATTATTGTTGTTATTTATTATTATTATTATTATTTTATTATTATTATTATTATTATTATATGTTAGTTAGTAGTAGTAGTATATATTATTATTATTATCATTATTATTATTATTAATTTTTTTTTTTTATTATGATCATTATTATTATTATTATCATTATTATTATTATTATTATTATTATTATTATTATTATTATTATTATTACTATTATCATAAAATGGTGGTCATCATTAATGAAAAATTATATTGATAATAATAATGTCAATAAGGATGATAATGATAATGATATTGAAAATGATAATAATGATCATGATAATGATAATAGTAATAATAATAATGATAATGATAGAAATAATGATGCAATAACGATAATGATAATAATAGTAATGATAATAATAATAATAATGATAATAATGATTATAATACTATTTACAATAATCACAACAATGATAATAACAAAATAATGATAATGATAATAATGATATTTATAATATTCATAACAATAATAATGATAATAATTATTATTATGATAATAATAATGGCGATAGTAATAAAAATTATCATAATAATGATGATCATACAATAATGATAAAAATTATGAAAATGATGATATTGTTAGTATCATCATCATTATCATTATCAATATTACTATTATCATCATCATCTTTCTTCTTCTCTTTCTTTTTTCTTCTTCTCTTCTTTATTATTGTTCTTGTTGTTGTTATTATTATTATAATGATATCATAATAACATCATGATATATGATATCATGATATATTAATCAATCTTTAAAATTATTATCATCATCATGATTGCCGTTATTATTATTACTATTATTTTTATTATTATCATTATTCTCACTATTATCAGTATCATTACTTTTATTATATTCATTTTATTGTCGTCGTTATTGTTGTTGTTATTATCAGTATGATAATGATAATGATAATAATGATAATAATAATTATTATAATTCTAGTCATTGCTATTATTATTGTTAGTATTATTATCTTATTTATCATCATTATTGTCATTATCACCGTTACCCTTATCACCATTACCATTATTTTTAATTATTTTTATTACCAGTATTTTTTATCATCATCATCATCACAAATATTTTAATTTCGTCATCATCGTTATTATTGTTATTATTATTGTCAATCTTTCTCCCTGTCAACAAAAAAAAACTATCTTTCACCGAGAGAGAGATAACAAGATTTCCCTCCTCCCTTTTTCTCTCTTTTTTCCCCTCCTCCTCCTCCTCCTCTCCTTCTCCTTCTTCTTCTTTATTCCTCTCTATGCTTCGCAAGCTAATCCGGATTTACTTCATTTCGTCAAAAGCCCGAATGGCATGTGTTGCATGAAATTGAAAATTGCCTTAGCCGATTGTTCCTCCTTTCGGATCCCAGACGCGAGTCGAACAGGTCAGCTAATTCTGTGTGTTTGTCGGGTCGCCTTCCTTGGCTTTTGTCCGGCGGGGGGGGGGGGGGGGGTAGGAGGGGGAAGAGGGGAGAAGGGGGAAGAGGGAAGAGGAGGAGGGGAAAGAAGTGGGTAGGAGGGGAGAGGAGAGGGGAGAAGGAGAATGAAGAGGAGGAGGAAAGAAGAGAGGGAGAAGGGAGTAGGAGGGGGAGGAGGGGGAGGAGAGAAAAGGGGGAGAGGGGTAGGAGGGGAAGAAGAGAGAAGGGAGAGGGGGAAAGGGGTAGGAGAAGAAGAGAGGGGAGAAGGGGTAGGAGGGGAGGAGTGGGGAAGAGGAGAGAAGGGGGAACAGAGGTAGAGGGGAGAAGAGAGAAGGGAGAGGGGGAAAGGGGTAAGAGGGAAGAAAAGAGGGAGATGGGGTAGGAGGAGATAAAGGGAGAAGGGGGGAATGAAGGGGTAGGAGGAAAGAGAGAGGGGTGAAGGGTACGAGGGAAGGAGGTGGAAGAGAAGTAGGAGGAGAGAGGGGGAAAGGAGGGGGTAGGAAAGTGAGAAGGAAGGAGAGGAGAGGATGAGCGAAAGAGAAGAAGAGGGGGGTGGGGGTAGGCGGGGAGAAGGGGTAGGTGGGTGGAAGGAGAGGGGAGGACGGGATAGGAGGAGAGAAGTAAGGGGAGAAGGGGTAGGAGAGGAAAGTGAGGGGAGAAGGAATAGAAGGAGAGAAGGAAAGAGGAAAGGAAAGGGTGAGGGAAAGAGGGAAGAAGGGGGAGAGGGGGAAGCAGGAAGAGGGAGAAGGGGGATGAAGGGAGAGGGGGAGAGAGGATGGGGAGGATGGAAGGGGTAGGGTATGTGAGGGCACAGGGGTGAGGGTTAGGAGGAGAGATGTCTGAGTGTAAGGGAGTTTTTTTTAGTATGTGTGTATGTGTGCGTGTGTGTGTCTGTGTCAGTGTGTGTGAGTGTGCGCGTGCGTGTGTGTGTGTGTGCGTGCGTGTGTGTGTGAGTTGTGTGTGTGTGTGTGCGTGTGTGTGTGTGTGTGTTGTGTGTGTGTGTGTTGTGTGTGTGTGTGTGTGTGTGTGTGTGTGTGTTGTGTGTGTGTGTGTGTGTGTTGTGTGTGTGAGTGTGTGGTGTGTGTGTGTGTGTGGTGCGTGTGTTGTGTGGTGTGGTCTGTTGGTTAGTGTGTGTGAGTGCGTGCGTGTGTCGTGCGTGTGTGTGTGTGTGTGTGTGTGTGTGTGTGTGTGTGTGTTGTGTGTGTGTGTCTGTGTCTGTGTCAGTGTGTGTGTGGAGTGTGCGTGCGTGTGTCGTGTGTGGTGCGGTGTGTGTGTGGTGTGTGTGTGTGTGTGTGTGTGTGTGTGTGTGTGTGTGTGTGTCGTGTGTCTGTGTGTGTAGTGTTGTGAGTGTGCGTGCGTTGTGTCTGTGTGTGTGCGTGCGTGTGTGTGTGTGTGTGTGTGTGTGCGTGTTGCGTGTGTGGTGTTGTGTGTGTGTGTGTTGTGTGTGTGTGTGTGTGTGTGTGTGTGTGTGTGGTGTGTGTGTGTGTGTGTGTGTGTGTGTGTGTGTGTGTGTGTGTGTGTGTGGTGTGTGTGCGTGCGTGTGTGTGTGTTGTGTGTGTGTGTGTGTGTGTGTGTGTGTGTGTGTGTGTGTGTATGTGTGTGTGTCTGTGTCTGTGTCAGTGTGTGTGAGTGTGCGTCGTGTGTCTGTGTGTGCGTGCGTGTGTGTGTGTGGTGTGTGTGTGTGTGTGTGTGTGTGTGTGTGTGGTGTGTGTGTGTGTCTGTGTCAGTGTGTTGTGTGCAGTGTGCGTGTGGTGTGTGTGTGTGTGTTGTGTGTGTGTGGTGTGTGTGTTGTGTGTGTGTGTGTGTGTGTTGTGGGTGTGTGTGTTGTGTTGTGTGTGTGGTTTGTGTCTGTGTGTCTTGTGTCTGTGTCTGTGTCTGTGTTCTGTGTCTGTGAGTTGTGCGTGTGGTGTGTGTGTGATCGTATGTATGTGTCTGTTTTCGCGTGATCATGATTTTTTTCTTTTTTTTTTTTTTTCCTTTTCTTTTGTGTCACTTCTCAAGCTCGCCGCGGAGAACCGATGTATTGTTAGTATAGGTCAGCCTCTGCACGAAATTTTTCCCCCAGTTTGTGTTGTTGCTTTCGTTGCCTCTCTCGGGCATTCTGATTCTAGGTTATTGCGTCATTTTTTATTCTCTATCTATCTATCTATCTATCTATCTATTTATCTCTCTTTATTTTTTTTTCTCTTTCTCTTTTTTTTCTCTTTTCTCTCTTTCTCTCTCTCTCTATCTATCAATTTTTTTTCTTTCTTTTTCTCTTCTCTCTCTATCTATTGCCTCTCTCTTTCTTCTTTCTCTCTCTCTCTCTCTCTATCCTATCTCTCTCTCTCTTCTCTCTTCTCTCTCTCTTCTCTTCTCTCTCTCTCCCCCCTCGTCTCTCTCTCTTCTCTCGGCTCTCTTACTCTCTCTTCTCTCTCTCCTTCCCCTTTTTCTTCTCGTCTTTCTCGCTCTTACTCTTACTCTCTCTCTCCTCTCTCTTTTTTCCTCTCCTCTCCCTTTCTCTTCCTCACCCTTTCCCTTCCCTCTCCCTCTCTCCCTCTCCTCTTTCTCCTCTTCTTCTCCTTCCCTCCCTCCCTCCCTCTTTCCCTCAAATCCCCCCCCACCCCCACCCAGGCGTCGAACACCTTTCGTTCCCCATCGGGCCACTTCTGCGACTCCCCCCCCTCCGGCCTCGCTCGCTGGGCCCGCCCACCTCATCAAAGAGCACGCAATCATTGTGTTCCGTCTGGCAGGGCGCAAAGGGTGGGTGAGGCGGGGTAAATGGGGGTAGGTGGGGGAGCGGGGGGGAGGAGGGGATAAGGAGGAGAGGGTGAGGGATGGGGGGTATGGGAGGGAGGGTGAGGGGTGGGTGGGTAGATGGGAGGGAGGGGGGTGAGGGGGTGGGATGGTGGGGTAAGGGAGGGAAGGGAGGGTGGGGGGTATGGGGAGGGAGGGGGCGGGGGATGAGGGGTGGGTGGGGAGGGGTAAGAGGTGGGTGGGAGAGAGAGCGGGGTTGGGTAAAGGGGGCATTGCGTTGGATGGGGGTGGGCGGGTGGTTTAGAAATGGAACGGAGGAAGATAGAGAATAGATGGGG